TATCTCCTGAAATTTTGGCTCGCCATATGTTGCAGAAGCAGCTATGGATATTTATATTTTGTTCTTAAAACTTTTAAGGAATGAGAGTGCTCTCCTGCAATGTGGTTTTTAATGTGCTTCTCAGGAGACGGGCTGACCAGCTCACAGCTCTGAAATAAGTATGAAATTGCTTGTGTATATATTTATTGTTTCTTATTCAATCATAATTATGATTTAAAAAGAAAATACCAGTACAGACAGCTGGTATGTCATGATAGAGGAAGATGTTGTGGATTTTCTGGACAACCTTCCTAAGAGTCTAGGTAGGATTATGTTTGGATCAGTGTGCAACAGCTTATCATGTTTAAGGTGATCTCAGTGGCCCACACTTAAGCACACCAGCCTTAACATTGGAAAACCAAATGCAGTCTCAATGACCAACGACTTTCACTCTATGGAAACCCCAAGCTTCATCCTGCTTTGCCATCAACACTATTTCTCCCGTCCAGTATGATTTTGTTTTTCTAAGTCTATGCTAATGGAGGTAAGGAACTTTTATAAATAATATATGCATTAAAATAATGGATTCAAAGACAGAATATTTGACTAAATGGTAAGCCAATACATCTATAAGTCACTAATATCATAATCACAACCCTTCACTCATTCATGGGTGCATGCATGCATTCATTCAAAGACCAATTGGTGAATCTGTTATCTGGCAATACAGACCTAGAAGAATACAAGGACAGAATAAAGCACAGCACCAGTGGGAGATAGACATGTCACACATGTTTTTGCCATTGTGTCATAAAGCAACACAGAGGTCTAGCCCTCTTGACAGGACCTTTGAGAGAAAGTGCCAAATGCTTCCCAAAGCATCATGGGTGGTATTCCCAGACAGCTGACACCTGAAGTGAGCGTCAAAGGACAGATAAGGCTGGCGTTTGCTTGGCAGACCTTGGCAGACCTTGGCAGACCTTGGCAGAATACCCCACAGTGAAAAACTGAGAGATGCCTTGATGGACAGCTGGTAAAGCCTGACCATGCTCGGAGGTGGGATGAACTCTGCATGGCTCCAGCCAGTACTCCCCAGATGTATCTTTTCCTTTTGTGTCCCCACAAAGATTTACAAAAACATCTGTGCTTCTTCACATGCTCTTAGAGTAACACGAAAAAACTTAATCCATAAATTCAACTAGTAGCAAGCAATGCAGCACTGATAACTCACTTAAATTATGAAGTGTTGAGCATTTCTTTCTGGTTTAATTGTCATTTCAAAGGATTACTTTCTACAGTTGGATAAAAAAATTACATTGCTTAATCATTAATGAACAAAAATACACAGAAAATTTTATTTCAATGAGATAAATGTGGTTCCACACACCAAGATCAGTTCTTATGCATGTGGATGGGTAGTAAATATTACTATAATTTAGCATGTTTAATTATCAGTTGTATTGCTTGTTTTACAAATTTTTTTCTTTGTTGTGGAGAATATGTTTTGGGGAAGTGTATGGTAGCCAGTAACTGGAAATAATTATATAGACACATACAGACCAGTCCTGATCTCCCTGATTTATTATAAAGGAGATCATATAACATTCAGCCCTAAAAGTTTTACAGAAACATTTAAAAGTCATTTCAACCAGTGCCCTTTACCCCAATTGCTAAGTTTCTTTTTCAATGAAATGGCTTTGGGAATCATTCTTTTTGCCATGAGCTACTTCGGCGATCTAGTGTTGGGTCTGGGGAAAACCAGTGAGAACTTGGGAACATAACATCACTCTGGCAGCTTGACTTTCCACAACTGAGATCTGTCTTTTCATCAGCAACTTCTCTCTCTCTTTTCTTCCTCTGCAGCATCCCCAAGACCACACAACAGCTCTGCCTTGCTGTTTTAGCTTGTTCCTCATAATCAAAGCTGAAAGGCCTTCTAAGTAGGCACATCTGTATTCCCCCTGCAAGTCCATGAAGGAACAGCTGTGCCACACATGGTCACCAGTTGCTAAGTGCAGAGAGTTCCATTCATTCTGTGCCATATTTGAAGTTTGATTGTACCAGCCCTGTATTGAGTTCAGTTCTCAATGTACAGAGGCAAATATGCAACAAATATAAATGTATTCCACATTTACACATGCAATGTACACATGTATGTGTAAACAATGTACACAATGTATACATGCAAACATTCAGCAAATATAAATGTATTCCACGTTTACACATGCAATGTGCACATGTATGTGTAAACAATGTACACAATGTATACATGCTAACATTCAGCAAATATAATGTATTCCATGTTTACACATGCAATGTACATATGTATGTGTAAACAATGTACACAATGTATACATGCAAACATTCAGCAAATATAAATGTATTTCACGATTACACATGCAATGTACACATGTATGTGTAAACAATGTACACAATGTATACATGCAAACATGCAGCAAATATAAATGTATTCCACGATTAGCCTTAATTTCTGTTTTGAATGCCCACGTTAGTGAATAGTAGAAATTTACTCAGGTGAGTCTCATTTTACTTGGGACTTCATCTAGCCAGAGTAATGGTTCATACATCCTGACTACAGAGGGACCACGATCTGTTTTGTTCTTAGTCACCAGGTGAGGCTGACCACCCGAAATAACCACCATTCTCATCACAGGGTCACACTCATGGGGTCACTGTCACTTTGTGTCACTCCTACTCCCACTTAGCCTCACTTTCTTTCTATCCAGCCACTCTTGTCTAGAACTGGGACACTTACTCAGAAATTCACCTCTAGAGGAGGAAAAATCCATCTGCTATCAGATAAACCTGCCTTAAATTTTGATGCTCAAAAGACAGGGTGATCAACTTTATTGGGCCCACTGCCATTTACAAGTCCCCATCACTTATCTTTTATGTTCTTTCCTTCAACTTACAGGTCTTCTCTAGGCTGATGTGGTAGTGGGTATGTTGGTAGTGTGAAGGTAAAGCTGATGGTCTTTAGTTAATTTGTCATACTGGCAAAACCACAGTCCCTTCAAGACTCAGATGGCACAGACCCAGGAAAGAACCTCCTACTTCCTTGCTTTCAGAGTTCTGTTGTTTACCTCCTAGTGAGGTAAGATATGCACGAGACTCTGGCATTCTTACATGACAGCAACTGAAAGAAAGATAATGAAGCTTAGGAAAAACATTAGTATTTTTAAAACTGTCCCCATCCCTTCACACTGTTGCTTCGGTTTCTCCTGAATCTGTCATTTATTGACCCCACTGCCATCTACATAGTTCAATACTTACCCTTTGCCGAATATGGCAAAAGAAAAGCCGGGCTGCATTTCTAGAACACTGGCCATCTCTAGGAGAACATCAGGATAGGGAGAACTTGGTTGTTGGGGGCAAAGCAAGTCTTGAAATTACACTGACATGATACCAGGGCTGGTCTGAGACTAGCAAAGGGTGACTCTCAACCCTGGGAGGCTGACCCAGGTCTTTCGATATTTTTTTCTCAGTCACTGGACATTATGTTTAGTCTTGTCTGACAACTTTGAGGCCTAAGGAATGAAGCCCAGTCAAGTGTTTTAGTGATGGGAAAAAGAAGGAAGAAGGGAGTGAGCTTGAATAAGGAAGGCAGGCAGAAGTTAGGCCACTTAGCAGTCTTCTTACCTAAACCCAATGCAGTGTGATTTCCTGTTCTCTGAAACACCTGCCTTGGTGTCCTGTAGAAGTAGGGTGGGGTGAGTGGGATGTATTGCTAGCTTCTTGAGAGTAGGAGAGGTAAACTCAGATTCAACATTCTTCAAAAAATGTAATATTTTAATAATTCTTTGAGAATCTCAGATAATGAGATTTTTATCTTATTTATTCCCAACCACACTCTGCCTCTTCTAAGATCCACCCTTTATCTCTCACCCCTATTTTTGTCTTTAATTATTATTTTTGTATGTATACATACATACATGTAAAAATATAAATACACCCATTTGACTTCATTTATTGTTGTTCCTATGTTATCAGGCCTGATTAGTTAGTATTGAATAACCAATTAGAAGACTCATCCCTGGGGAAGATGGATTCCCATTCTCTGAGAAGTTATTACTTGCCTATATCTTTCTGTCTGGGGTAATGCTCCATGAAATTTTCCTAACCTGTGTTGGCCTGTCAACTGGTGTTATCATTTTGCAGGTCTTGTTTAGGCAACCATAATGTTGAGATTTCATGGGTGCAGCTTCCCTGGCCTATATAGAAGACACAATATTGCAGTAGCTGTTCAGGTCCTCTGGCTAATACAGTTTTTCTGTTCTTTCTTCTGAGATGTTCCCTGAGCCTTAGGTATTGTTATAACTGTATCACATGGGGCTGAGCATTTCATGGTAGGTTGTTTTACATTTGTGGACAGTTGTGGAAAAAGTAAATCTCTTAACTCATTTATTAAACAGCTGAAGTGTGTTAAACACTTTTAATTTATTTTATCTAAAGTACATCGATGTTAGTGTTAACATCCCTGCTTTGCAGGGAGTAAAGCTGAGTTGTAGGAGACCATATGGCTAATGACAGCTAGAATGTGGAAGAGCTAGGTACCTTTCTGGCTGCTTCTCCCTGAGTTCCAACTTCATGTGCTTCTGCCCATAGTAATGGCTCTCTACCCCAGCTTTTAAAATACTGATGTGTGAACTCTACTCGGAAATATTTATATTTATTTGTTGAGGTTAGCATTTATAACTTTGTTTTTTACTCCTTTTGATGATTTAATGTACATCTAGAGCTGAAGATCTTGTCCCTCTCATACAGATATGTCTGGTCACTAGGTCTATAATGACCCATGACGGATATTAGAGAAATATTAACTGGTTAGTTCTATGGCTGTCTGTACAAAGAGGGAAGAACATTATTAGATACCACCAAGTTAGTTATAGACTATGTTTGTAGAGGCTGAGATGGACTATTGGGGGTTTTGTCAAAGAATGACTAAGGAAGACTGCTATTCGTCTCTTTTTCAAAGAGGTTTTCCAAACCTTCCATTACAGGTGGTGTCGTCCTCAACCCAGCCTATTATGGCATGCCTGGCCACACCAACATTATGATCCATGAGGTGGGACATGTCTTGGGACTCTACCATGTATTCAAAGGAGTCAGTGAAAGAGAATCCTGTGATGACCCCTGTAGAGAGACAGTGCCATCCATGGAGACAGGAGACCTGTGTGCCGACACTGCTCCTACACCCAAGAGTAAGCTGTGTCGGGACCCAGAGCCAGCTAACGACACCTGTGGCCTCACCCACTTCCCAGGGGCTCCATTCAGAAACTACATGAGCTACACAGGTATCACCACAACCTCAATGCTTTTGTTTTCTCTTAAGGTCACTTAAGTGTCTTTGGGAATTGGTAGGGAGTATGTAGTTAAAGGGAACCAGGGAGGTTCATGGCACAGAGTGTATTTTGTGTTGGATAGTCCTTTATTTTCCATGTGTTTGAAGTATTTGATGAAATGCTGAGGTATTACAGGGTCTTGTTGACTGGATTCTCTTCCATTTAGAGCTTGAAAGTGATTCCTATCATGTATAGTTAAAATGGGACAAAATTAAAAATCCTCTTGTGATCTCTTCAGGTTTTACAACATGATGATTCTCATTGAGGCATTTCCTCTGAAGATGGTCTAGTCTGATAGTGATAAATGACAGGTCGCTGGGTGAAGATGTCTCTTCAGTACTTTTACAGATAGTTAACAAACTGACTTGATTAATTGAGGTACTAGAAACCTTTTACCTTATACTGTGTAAGAAATCATATTCTCTTCTTCCAGCACAACATTGATTCCTAGCTTATTGTTCATGCACTGTGCCCAAAATGATACTATTTAATTTTTTTTTAAAAAAATGGTGCTTTGTTGGCCCTGAGGAAAACTGTATTGTGTGGCCTTGTCCTCTTTTGGGACATCTCCTGGATCATCCATCTCACCTGTGTATCAGACCTTTCTTGTTTCTGGCAAAGAGTAACACTAAGTATTCTTCTAATGATGGGCATAATTATAATTAAAATTGACAACTAATTTGATTTGATCACCTACTCCAATGGTGAACGAAGGTTAATTCTTAGTTCCATGTTTTACTAAAGGCAAACTACCAGCTCCTGCTCATGGCTTTGATGGTACGAATGAACAATGAGCTAGCTGGTTCTGCCTGTGGTCTCTTAAGATATTTCCCTCCTCCAAATTTCATTGTTGTGAAGAATGAATTGAATTCATAAGCACCAACACCTCTGTCTCCCTTAGCCAGGATGAGGTGGCCTTGGAGATGCAGAGTGTCGGAGTAGAGGCTCCTTAGGTACCACCTTAAAGTGTGGCAGAGGCAATGTTGAGAAACAGATGTGGTGGCTTTTGGTCTACTTTAAATAGAAAAGTGCTTGAAATGAAGATCACTCCTTTTCAACCTCATGAAATGTATAATGAACATAGTGATTTTTGCTGTCTCTGAAAGAAAGATTGGGGCCATCATTCCCATCCCTTAAGTTTCCTTGAAATTTCAGCTTCCTCTCCACTGAGCATCGCGAGTGAATACTCATTTTCCTTGGGCATGGACACAGGGTATGTGGCAGATGTAGGTAATTCTGAACACAGGCAAGGAGACCCTCTGCTGAAACACTGCCATCTTGTGGTGTGCTTAGTATGCAACCATCAGTTTGGGACAGTAGTTCTCAACCTGTTGGTTGGTAGCATACAGATATCCTGCTTATCAGATATTTACATTATGATTCATAACAGTAGTAAAATTACAGTTATAGAGCAGCAATGAAAAAATTATGGTTGGGGGTCACCACGACATGAGGAATTGTATTAAAGGGTTGCGGCATTAGGAAAGTTGAGAATCATTGTCTTAGGACAATCCTGTGACTTCATGACTAGAGTCTCACCCTAGGACAATCCAAGAATATAGTAATGAGACAGCTTCTGTGGGAAGCAAGTTCTATGTCTCTGCTTTTCTTCTCCCACATCTGGCTTTCTTTCTGGAGAAGAATGAATTCCTTTACTGAGTCTAATGTTTTCTGAGTCTCGTAAATGCGAGATGTAGGGTGCTAGTCATAGTGAGAATGGAGTGAGCTCTTTGCCTTGCCTTTAGGCAACGGTGCAGGTTCAGCCTTCACATCCTTTTTTGTCTCCACAGATGATGAGTGCACTGACAGCTTCACCCCCAATCAAGTAGCCCGGATGCATTGCTATTTGGACCTCGTATACCAGCAATGGAGTGAAAGCAGAAAGCCCACCCCCATTCCCATCCCTCCCATGGTTATCGGGCAAACCAACAAGTCCCTCACTATCCACTGGCTGCCTCCTATCAGTGGAGTTGTGTATGACAGGTGAGAGAGGTACTCCACTGTCTTTGAATCATTTTAAAAGAGGGGAAGAAAATGAACTGAGGAGGACCCTGATTGTGATGTAAATGTGTACATAGCTGTCCAGGGACACCTCGTGAGTCTGCTCTGGGCTCAGCTCCTTAGCAGTGCTAAGGGTGTCTCACGAGAGTCAGAGGTTCATCGTGTGTGCTTATTTCACACAAGGATGGCCTGGCAGAACTGGCAAAGCATGGCCCATCTGTCTTAGCCAGCTGTTCCTCTGCAGGGTAAGGCTTTCTCCTTGGCCAGCGGTGACTGGGGAAAGGGAAGCAGACCATGTTCCTTTAGTCAGTTCCAGGGTGCAAAGAGAAAGTGTGGGAGTCTACAAACTCAACTCAGCATTTCCAGTACTGTCTCTGTCTGCCACTGAACGCTGTGTTCTGCCTCATGGCCACAATCTGGGATTGTTACTGTCTGTTCTTACTTGCCCCCTCTACTGGCAACTAGTGTTTTATATTTTTATTTTTGTTTCTGAGACTGCCATAGTAGACACTTACTTAATCCATACTCATTGAAGACAATCACAGTACCTGAAGTCAGCTGTCATTTTCCTTTGCTTACTTATAGAACTGAATCTCAAGGAATTCTTTATAAAAAGCTTAGAGAGGGCGAGAGAGAGAGAGAGAGAGAGAGAGAGAGAGAGAGAGAGAGAGAGAGAGAGAAGAAGGAGAGAGATCTGATGTAGCAATGAGGCATATGATTTAACTGAAAAGGCTCCTTGGGCCCATGCAGACTTGGTTCTCGGAAGCCTACACCCAGATGCTGAATAACAGGGAAGCATTTTTTTTTTTTAAATCCTGTTATGTGGAAGACTCTGAGAGACATCTGACTTCACCTGTCTCATGCAGTCCTCACAGCAGGCACCACTCCTCCCTGTGAGTAAGAAACACACAGGGCTGGCTCAAGACCCCACAAGAGGTGATTCGGGGGGTTAGGGGATGGGGGATTCAGAAATGAGGAGCACAGAATAGATCAGAATAGATGAATGCTTTGGATTTTGAGCTTTCTTTCTCATTTAGCAGGCAGACATCTACTCTTATTTTTCTTAATATACTATTTGACTAATTCTTCAAGAACTTCATATAATGAAATTTGACCATATTCACCCCAACTCCTCCCTCTGACTCCTCCCGGATCCATCCTCCCCTTTCCATATCCCCAAATTTGTGGCCTTTACTATTTTTAAAAATACCCCATTGGGTCCACTTTGTGCCGTCCACACACTCAGGTGCAGGGCCATAGGACAGTGACTCCTTTGTGTACAACACTTCACTGTGGCTATCCGGGTCCAGCTAAGGGACCAATGGCCCTGGAGCATGTCCTCATACTCTTTGGATTTAATGAAAGCCTGGGGTTGGAGGCAGCTAAGGAGAGATGAGGATACAATAAAGCCAGTGAATTATTTTTCAAAGCGATACTCAGTTGCTTGAAATCTTCATTCTTTGACTCACACTTAGTCATGACATCATTTAGCACTCACAGCCCTACAAAGTACTTTGCATTGTTATCAGCACCCAGGTTCCCATGGCTCCTTTGGTGACTCAGCACACATCTATGCAATGTGTACAAGAACCATCTTCCTGCAAGTGTGACCTTGTGTAGCTCTGGCAGCACTGTCCTGTGTGGGTACATGCAAACCCGAGTTTTACATCAGTTTATGTAACACGTGTAAACAATTTAATCTTTCAATTCTCTCTCTGGTACAAATGTTACGATAAAGCAGACATCAGAACTGGCTTGCTGAGAGTCTGTTGGCAGAAAAGACTGCAGTTTGCTTCCTTTGCTCAGCTAGGTGGGCTAGTCTTGAGGCCTCCCAGCACGTGTGTTGGAGAGACTCACGTCACATGCCCAGCAATTTGTGTCACGCCTAGAGTTATGTTTACTCCACCCTTGTAGGTATTTGGAATCCGTGTGTCAGAGAGGAGCCCCAGCTACGCACTCTGGAGCAGCCCCGGAAGGGCAAGTGCATCAGGGAAATGTGGTTTGGAATTGTGTCCACGTTAGGAAGAGTACTGATGGAGTCAAAGGGTGGCTCAGAACTACACCCTTTAGTTGCCAAAATACTGAACACTAGGTGATATTTGGGAACTTGCTCAAAGGAATTAAGAAACTTGTGACTTTGGGCAACTGACTTAAAGCTTCCTGAACCCCAATTTTCTCATTTGTAAGCATGGTGTCATCACAAGGGTTAGAAGGAGGTTGTGTAAAACACAAGGCCAGGTTATGTAAGGTGCTTAATGTCATTATTATTGCCGTTGTGTAATAATATGGTTTTACTAGTGTGTTATAAGGTACTAACCTGCTATTCATATGTTCTGTTGGTATGCTGCCTTGATTTTAGGCTAACATTTCAAATATGTTGTTCACAACCGGGCTTCTGAAAACATTCCAAGTATGAGAGACAACTCTCAGAAAGCAGTTGGCCTTGTTACTCAGTATTGTTATCTTTGCACGTTCCAGTTACTCCAAATGTGACGCTTGTAAAAACCTCTTCATAGACTGAATTATCTCACAGACAGCTACAGGACAGACATTTACAGAGGGACTGCTGAAGCCAGTCATGTGCTAATTCTTACAAACACAAGGAGACCTAAGCAGACCCAGATACACTCATAGGCCTAGGAGTCAAAAGAGAATGACTGTAAATTTGCAGTGCACACACAGCAGTAGCCTGAGAAAGGGGCCAACTAGAAAGTGTGTACAGAGAAGCAGGAGCTGGACTCTCAGAGGAAGAAGGCTAAGCACCTCCTGCAAAGACCATATCTGAGTAAGTGAAGTAAGAGTGCTAAGCGAGGATGCTTGAATAGCCTATAAGATTGTTGTAAGGACATGTGCTTTATGCAGTGATGTGAAGAGCATGGAGAATTTGGCCCATAGCATGGTGGAACTTGGGCTAGAAATATAAAGTTTATGAAGGAACTGCAGGAGGTAAGGCTGGAGCTAGTGCTTATCACCCAGAGCTGATAGGAAAGTATGATCCATTGCTACAGGTGATGTCGAATCAAGGGGTGTTACCCTCCACACTCTAGTTTATGCATGTAAGTGAAAGTAGGGCATTAAAAGAATCAGAACATATAGATAGTGACTTCTCTCTGAAAATCATTGTTTTAGTGGCCAGGTATGTGTATCCTGTGCCTTTCTGACACTTAATTACTATAGAAAGGGGTTCTATGTTGGTTCAGGAAAATATGCTTATTTCTTGTTTAATGATTCTAGGACAAGAATCTTGCATCTCACAGACTTCTTCAGGACTTTGTTAAACTTTTCTCTTTCCTGACTTTGAGGTTTCTCATGTCTTGTGAATTTGGCAAAGATGAGGACTTCAGAAGAAGGACATGAGTTGCCAAGATAAATGTGCCCACTTGTCCCCCTGGGCCTGATTTTCCAGTGACACCCTTCTTCCCAGAGTCTTCCTGGCTTCTTTACCCTATTCAACATAAGGACACTTCCTTCTTCATGCTTCCTCTTCCCAGGGCCCCTGGCAGTACGTGTGGTGCCTGTACTGAAGATGGAACATTCCGTCAGTATGTATACAAGGCTTCCTCTGGGCGGGTGTGTGACTCTTCCGGTTACTGGACTCCAGAGGAGGCTGTGGGTAAAGTACCATGGATTTTTGACTAATATTTTAGTGGCTACTGAGCATGAGTAATGGATGAAGCAGTGGTGTATGTTGGTGGTTTTTTTGCACGTGGGTGAGGGAGGGTTTGCTGAATCTTTCCAGGGTCTTGGAAACACTGCTGGTGCTTCTGCATGTCCTATGTTGGTATAATGTGATAGTCCCATGGCTGTGAGGATGTAAAGATTTAACACAAAGGTATCGAGAAGTCAGCCCTTCTCAAGGGTTACCTCAGTGTGAACTAGGGCCAGAAATGTTGCACATGTCTACTCATCTCTGAAGCAGCTTTGGTGCATGATGGTGTAAGCTAAGTGTTTACTCCTCTATATCAGGAGAGTAATAGAGAACACATTGCAAAGAACACTCATGTGCTGGCTGAGCAAGTTTGGGTGGGGGCAGGGTGGACTAGGTGTTCCACACGGATCGTTCTCATCTACACTATTTTATGAGTCTATTAATCACTGGTACTGGTTGTGCTTTGAATGTGATCTAAGCTAGGCTCTAGTAGGGAGAAGATGTTTTTTGTTATTTCATTTCCTGTCCCTCCCCTAAGTCCTCTAACAGTCACATCCTCACTCACATATGTATATCAGGATCTAGAAGACAAATTTCAACATGAGCCTTTTCAGTGCCAGTGCAGAAAATGCTGTGGACATGTCTTCTAGCCCTTCTCCAAGAAGAGCTGACTTCTGTCTTCCCCAGTTTTTGTTTGGCTGATTGATTGGGGCTTGTTGTTTTTGTTTGTTGTTATTGTTACTTTTGTCAAGACAGGGTTTCTTTGTGTAGCCCTAGCTGTACTGGAAATAGTTCTGTAGACCAGGATGGCCTTGAATTCAGAGATCCACTTGCCTCTGCCTCCCAAGTTCTGGGATTAAAGGAGAGTGCCATTATGCCTGGCTCTTCACCATCATTTTTGATACCTACCTAATCATCATCTTCTGAATAACCCCTACCCCCTGCTTTGTAGGTATTAAGATCCACAAAACTACCGAGAAAGGTATATTAGAAACAGTCTATTTGAATTAATTTTCAGTTCTGATTGTGACAAGAAAACAGAACAATAATGATGTATGAGTCTTCTACAATGACTACCTGATGTCACCTTGGGCTCCTAGTTAGTTATTCAAATGATAGAGCCTCAAGGAGAAAGCTGGATGGAGATGATTGACAGGACTAGTCATATATGAATCTTTTCAAAAGAGAACACTTAAGAGATAATCCACAAATTGATGGGCTTTCTGTAAGAACTCTGAAGTCTCCTTCATCCTCTGTCTGCTGATATGGGCTGCTGCTCTTTCTCATTCTTTTAATGGTGGTTCCTGATGCATCTTTTCTCTCATTTCCCCAGGGCCTCCTGATGTGGACCAGCCCTGTGAGCCTAGCTTGCAGGCTTGGAGTCCTGAGCTCCACATGTACCACATGAATATGACTGTGCCCTGCCCAGAAGAAGGCTGTAGCTTAGAGCTGCTTTTCCAACACCCAGTCCAAGCTGATACCCTCACACTCTGGGTCACTTACCTCTCCGTGAATTCCTCCCGGGCACTCTTTGACATAGAGATCTTGCTAGAACTCAAGGAATCTGTACACCTTGGTCCCTTAAACACTTTTTGTGACACACCACTTACCATCAAACTCCACGTGGATGGGAAAGTCTTGGGAGTCAAAGTCTACACCTTGGATGAACGAATGGAAATTGATGCTGCTCTCCTGACTTCTCGGCCCCATAGTTCCTTGTGCTCTGGATGCAGGCCTGTGAGTTATCAGATACTCCGGGAGCCTCCTTTTCCCAGTGGCTTGCCCATGGTGGTGACACACCCGCACAGGAAGTTCACAGACATGTAAGTTGGTCAACAGAATCTTCCAAATCATGGGACTTCCGGAACTTTGTTGCACTTTGGTTGTCTCTGCTTCTACTTTTTAATATTCTGCTATGCTTTTGAAGAAAATTATTTCCCAGAAAAGAGAAAACATATGCCTTGACTGCTAATGTCATCATTATGATGATGGAGAAGTTAGTGTATGAGGTCTTTTAGTTGAGTGAGTTGAATTGATACTAAAGTTGATCAGAATAAGATTTTTCTGTCTTGAAGCAGTGTTGTTTTGGATTCCTTCTTGTAGCTTTCCAATAATCTAGCATAACTTCCATGATTTTCAAGTTATAGCCAATTCTTCCATAGCTACACTAAAAGGTCACAAGTCTCTCAGATGTTAAACACAGCTTCATGATTCATCCATATGTATGTTCACTTTTCCTTCCTTTTCTTATTCCCCCTCTTCATTTCTTCTTTCTTTTGTTTCTAGTTTTCACTTATTTTATTTAGTGTCTTTCCTTTGACATTTAGTGAGTTCTTCTGTGTTCCTGGCACAGTATGCTCCGTGTTAGAGACAAGGGCAAGGGTCAGAATTTAATGTCTGCCTTAGATGCTGCTATAGTCAAAGGCAAGTCCCCCCGCTTGAGAGTCTTCTTAGAGACTGACTGGAGGGCATAACAGGGTACAATAAAGTTTGATCAGAGTGGGTTCCATTAGATGATTTTTGCCATATTAGAAATGATCAAATTACAATAGCAAACTTTATTTCATTATTTTATGCATGGGCTGGGTGATTTCCTCTGGATTGCTTGCTTGATCCCAGGGTAGCATCATACACATATTGGGGCCCTAGCTGAGACAGCTGGTGTGGCTGGGGATGTGAGGACCCTTTTCCTCATGACCACTCAAGCCCAGCTATGGGCTACTTCTCATGGGTGAATGGCTGTTTCTAGGAGAGTTCCTTGAAACAGGAAGGGCAAATTCCCCATCACTTGTAATTTTCAAGTCTCTGATGGAAATTACTCTTGATACTGTTCCATGAAGTTACATGAAAAGTTTCAGATTCAAATAATAAACTGCCTTTCTTCAAAAGGAGAGACAGCTGTCACACAAACCTTAGAGGTGTACATCTTGGCTGAGGTAGGCATTTGGCAACCCACCACAGCTATAAAACCTAGCTATAAAACTTCAAAATGTCCAGTTTGAGCTCCAATACATTCTTCTTTCCATGGTTGTTCTCATATTTGCCATCAGAAGATTGAAAAGTGGTTAAAAAATAAATACACATAGAATGCAGATCATGAGGTAGATTAGAAAGAAAAATTAACATGATTTAGCAGCTGTAGCCAAGCAGTTGATACAGTGTTTGTTATATAATGATATTCACATATAAATGTTTAAGGTCAGTAATATCCTGTTTTATAGATAGAAAACTAAGCTTGCCCTACACTCAGTTGCTGAACTAGTAGATGGTAGTTTCGGGATTCAAACCCCATTTCCAATTGACTCCATCTTTTTCCCTCAGTAGAATACTACCTTTCACAGACTCACTCAGCTCATGGGAGGCCTGAGGTACCTGCTGCTATGTTTTCTCCATAAGAAGAGTAAATGCACAATAATATTTCCATCTAATCCTTTTCCCAGCCACAGAGCCATGTAAGACTTTTAAGCATGGCTGGACAAGAAGAAACCACCCCAAAAGGAAACCAACTGCCGGCATTGACTGGGATAAAATTGAATTTGCTTTAGAAACAGCACCTGGCGCTCCCAGGAGAGGGTTCCTTTCTCAAAAGGGAAAACTAATTTGGAAATTTAAGAGTCTTTAATATTTAGGTGTCTTTCCTATTAAAATACCTAAAAGCCAATACAGACAATTTTAAAGGTATTTTGGAAGCCCCAAATTTCCTGTTTGCTGGTTGCTATGTCAGATTGTGGGGTGGTGGCTCTGTGGTTGCTTTAAAGAGTCCGTTAAAGAAAAGAGAATCTTGGCAGGAGATTTACACTGGCCACTCATGGCAGTCCCAATAATTCTTTGAGATCGTGTTCTCCTAAATACTTGCATCCTATCTTGACTTGGTTGGTACTTTTCTAATCAGGACAAGCACTGGACAAAATTAAGACAAGGCAGAATTTATCTTTGAAACCAGCAGCCCCATTCAGGAGCCCTTTTCCTACCAAATAAATGTCTTGTCTCAATGCTTCCCACTTAATCAATATACCAGGGACCAGAGAGTCTGATAAATTCCTTCCATCTCTCAGGTCAACTTACCAACTCCATTCTTGGTATTTGGGGATAAAGACCAATTTAATGTGTCTCTACCTGGGAATTTTTATCTTCCATGTAGTAATGAACTGTATTCTTGTGTTCTTACTTCTATGAAATATTTGTTCCAGTCTTTTCAATGCAAGAATTCTCTTTTAAGGAAACCATGATCTACAAATCCAAGAATAGGCTTGACTGAAATTCTAGACCTCACTTAGTTTGAGTACTTTAAAAATATAGATTACAGATTTTTCAAAAGTTGCTGTATATTATCTTGGTTAAAAACACTACACACCATCCTACTACATTCTCAAGGACTGTTACCTTAAGTGTTAACTCACCAAGCACTTACTAATACATTTACAAGTGGAGAACATATGGGGCCAATAGAGATAAATATCTACACAAACATGAGGATGCTCGTAGAATTGAGTCCTGATCTTTGTTTCAGTCAACTGGCATGTTTCACATTTTGTTTCACATAATTGTTCCCTTAAACTCATGTGAACTAACCGCAAAGGACCCAGGGCACGCTACTTTGTGGATGTGATCGTCACAAACTCATTGGTTTCCACAGGGAGGTCACACCCGGGCAGATGTATCAGTACCAAGTTCAAGCTGAAGCTGGAGGGGAACTTGGAGAGGCTTCACCTCCTCTGAGCCACATTCACGGAGGCCATTACTGTGGAGATGGGAAGGTGGCAAGGTAAGTCACGTGTATGCAAGACAACGTGAGCTGGGTTGTGCTCAACTGCTCAAAGAGGCGTAACCCTCTATTTGAGCTTAAGTTAACTTAAAAATGTGTAGAAGCAAGGGACTGCATATGTCTCATGTAGAAATTCCAAAATCTGGGGTTTTGAGGGGTCGCTGGCACCTCTGCATAGTTTGAAGGGAATCCACTTTTAGTCAACATGGTCCCCGGATTGGGCTGACTCTCTGGGGCCCCCTTAAGGTGCCAGTGAGGAACTGCAGCACAGTGAGGTAGGGAAGGAATTAATGTAGATGACAGTTAAATAATGATGGAGGATATAATTTATATTTTTGGTTGTGAGCCTAGCCTTTAACGGCTGAGCCATCTCTCCAGCCCAGAGGATATAATTTAGACCAGTGTCTGCTTGTTCAGTTTTTACAAAGTGGATGTGATTGGTGGGAAGAGAGTTACTCCACTTATTGTATAATTTTCTGTAAGCATTACCAAGGGAGAGATATAATGATTCCTTTGGTTCCTTAACATCCTGTGATCTTCTTCCTATTGGCTTGTGTTATCAGACTGGGGAGCAAATTCATCTGGTTTGGAAGTTGTCCAAGTTCAGTACTGACACATATCCAGTCCTAGGAAACCCAGACCAGTTGGTCAATCCTCATCTAACTTATCCTTCATACTCATCTCACCTACACTTATATAAAGCTGCTGGGAGTGGGGATCTGGGAGGCAAAGTATGATGCATTGCCAAATTCTGCATCTTATTAAGATGGCCAATTTTTTAATTTCTCAGACCAGGAAAATATATACTGAATTCTATATCCTTTTGTAGGATTCTATCTGACTAATGATCACTGAACATTGTTTATCTTGGTCTGCTGAGATCCTCAGGCTATGGTCTAATCCTATTCCATCGCACTAAAGTACAAACACTACGTATTATTTCCCATATGAATACAACAGAAATCACTTAAATAGGTAAATCTCACTTGTTCGTCCTTGCTCCTCCCCAGCTCATCCTCAGTATGCTAGCTCTCTTCTTGTGCCATTCTCCAATTGTGGCTCCCATGAGGCCTTAGCCTCATTTGCCTGGGAATATATAGCAGAGTGTATTGCAGGACCGTCTTCCTAATTTGGTAGCCATATTTACTCCTGTCCCTTGAAGCAGCTTAACTAGAGGCAGCAGTTCTCTGCTTCTGGGTCTCACAAAGTCCCATGCCAAGAGCTCCTGTTTGCATTCTTCGGCTGCCCAATCAGTACTGTTGTCCAGGGGAAGACACTTCTGAATCCCAGCTTTGCTTCAGCTTGGAGCACCCCAATACACAAGGCAAAGGGAGTCATGCAAGTGGTTTAACCCACTTGATTCCAGATAAAAGACTATCAAGCTAAGCACTAGGGAGGGCCCTGAAATTTGGAGCAGCGCTTATTCAGAAGTTGATTTTCACAATACATGCTGTCCACCTACCATTTGAACCATGTGGCACTTGAGACTTCAAAAATGTGGTGAATGCAACTAAGATGTGCAATATTTATTTTAATTTAATTTAAGGCAATTTATTTCTAAAACTGAAACTCAATTTAGTTGTTGGAAAACCTTTAAGAATAGCTTGAAAGTTTGAGATAACTTGGATAGATGAATTGACTTTTTCAACTACAAATATAAAATTGAAGTAAAGGTGAAGTATTTGAAGTGAGATGTAAGTGAAAATGAATTTTAAATGCAGTAGACTTCAAGTGTTTGGGATACAAAAGGAATGTTACATGTCTTATCAATCATTTTACATTGATTAAAAATTCAAATGGTAATGTCTTAAGTACCCACATTTTGATGAAATACAGTTATTATAGCTAACTTTATCTATTATTTTTACTTTTTAAGTGACTACTAGAAATTTCAAAATTGTATGTATGACTCTCATTAGATTTCTATTGGGCAGCACTGCACAAAATGATATGCAATATGATTATGCTAATTGTTTAAATTGTCTTCAAAATAAAATTGTAAAGTTGCCTCTTTCCAAGGTTATGACCTAGAACTCAGACAGGGAAACATTGGTGTAGACCACTGGTTCTCAACTTTCCTGATGTTGCGACCATTTAATATCATTCCTCATGTTGTGGTGACCCCCAATCATAAAATTGTTTTTGTTGCTACTTCATAACGGTAATTTGCTACTGTAGTAAAAAAAAATAATGTCAATATCTGTGTTTTCCAATGTTCCTAGGTGACGCCTGTGAAAAGATTGTTAGACCCCCCAAAGAGGTCGTGGCCCACAGGTTGAGAACTGCTCATGTAGACCAGTCCTTTCTCCATACATGAGTAAACTAGGAATGAGCCTTGGAAATATTTCCTGAATATCACACAGTAGATTAGGTGCCTGGGGCCGTCTCTGACAAACCATATTGCCTTAGTATGAAAAGAACATGAAGGGGCTAGAGAGATGGCTCAGTGGTTAAGAGCACTAGATACTCTTCCAGACGACCTGAGTTCAAGTCCCAGAACCTGTAAGTGGGCTCATATCTGTCCACAGCTTCAGTTCCAGGGGATCTGACACTCTCTTCAGGCCTCTATGGGTAAAAGGTACACAGTTATACAACCTGGCAAAAACATACATATAAGTTCGAAATAAATAAGTCTTAAAAAGATCATTCAAAAATCTGTGACATAGATGTATATATGAGTTAGTTTGGGAAGAGAAAGAATGTGAAGTTTTTTTAAACTTTTTTTTTTCAGTTCTGGGGATTAAAAGCAGGCTTTCCATAAACTGGGCTAGTGTTCCATTACTCAGCCACATTACCATCCCCTCATAATTTCTTCAACTATACTTTTCCTATGTTTTCATTCCTGTACTCAGTTCTGTCTTACAACTTAAAATATGATTACTGTGCTTTTGCGTCTGTACCATAGTTTTAATTTATTTATAAGCATTCTCATCTTAATTCATCTTTAATCCATCCCCATAGTGACCTTTGAATAATGGCTGGAGCTATTTGTGATAATCTTGGTCTGACAACCTTTTAGAATTCCAAATTTCTTTATATATGGAGCTATTGGACATACTGAAAAGTAAAGGAGGAAAAACTGTAAGCCAAAGCCATTTTACAATAGCCAAATCTTACTTTTTCCACAGAAGTTTTGATTTAAGTTTTTTCTATTTTGTTCTCATAACATGCTTTATGAAAGAAATCTCACTGTAGACTAACTTACCTGTCTTGACCTACATTTAGTCATCAACTAAGGTTCAAAGATGACTTTTTCTTTTTTCCCTGTAATATATGGTATCTGCCACTAGGTGGTAGTAGGAAGTAAGGACAGTGACTTGAACCTTGGCTGTGCCATTGTTTAAGACAGCCATAAGGGCGCTTCTTGAATCTCCTAGTTACATATAAACAGGAGATTTAACTCTGCAAAATCTGACTTTTATAACTTAACCTGCATAAAGGAAAATGATTTAATGTAAAATGATAAAAAAAATCATAAAATGACACAGATGGGCAGGCCTTCTCACCAATTAGCTATTCCTGTTTTGATTGCTTTGTTTGTGAGCAAGGATCTGTCTTTGTATCCAAGGCTGACTTGGAATATTCTATGTGTTTTCAGAGTATTGTGTGCCTCTGTCTTCAGGAAAATCAGCTACTGTTTAAAATTGTCAATGGTTTTTAATTAAATTTATTAAATGCTTTTAAGTAAAAACATTAAAAATGCAAAACCATGTGATGGTTTTGATATAATATTTAAACAGGTCAAACATATCCATCTCTTCATATATCACTTTCTTCCAGTAAAAATATTTCAAATTCTCTTTTCCAGCTTCATGAGTACACTACACGTATTTTTTTTTAGTCAGTCCATTGAGCAAAAGCACACCAGGACTTGCTCCTATGTAATTGTAATTCAGAACATATCAATGAACCTTTCCCCATCACTCCCTTTTCTCTGCCCTCCTCAATCTCTGTTAACCATCATTCCACTTTCAAGGTGTATGAGATCAACTTCATGCATCCCCAATATGAGCAAGATTGCAGGATACTTCCTTTATGTGCCTATTTAATTTTTACTCAACATAATGATTTCCAGCCCCATCTATGCTGTCCCCAAAGACTGAATTCTAGTTTCCTTTGAGGCTGGATAGTACTCTACAGGATATGTGTCACATTATTTTTCTCCATCCATCAGCTGATTGACACTTAGGTGGTCTCATCTCTTAGTTATTTTGAATGATGCCCAGGAATGGGGTTTCAAGATTACATATTAACCCTTTGTATGTGTGTGTATGTGAATGTTTGTGTGTGTAAGTTTGTATGTGTGTTGTCTTAGTCAATTTCTTTCATCCATGTTTTATAATTTGCATTATAAATGGGGTCACTTTCTTGATTTCTATTTCCTGTAATTAGTTATTAGCATATTATAAAGCTACTGTTTTTGTAAATTACTATAGCTAATAAATAAATTAAGCAAAATTGAAAGCTACAAATTGGCTACTTCTAAGACCTCATTTATCACAGGGCTGGAGAAGATCTTGCCAGGCACACTTCTGGCCTCCCACAAGGCTCTCCCAGACGTTTCTATGCCATAATACACTTGGTTTCTAGGGATTCCTACAACCTACTGACCATGCTAATCTACCATTTTGCTAAACTCACATCTACTTTAAATATTTATTTTTGAATATTTCTTATAAATTGTTATTTTTTACAGCTTTTAATTTTTAAAGCATAAGGAGGAATTTAAATGAAGTAATGGTAGCTGAATGAGAAAGGTCATTTTATGGGTGTCTAACTGTGTATTTCTAGGAGTATGGGGGAAATGTGCGATGATGGAGACCTGTTGAGTGGAGATGGGTGCTCAAGAGCATGTAAACTAGAAGAAGGCTTCAATTGTGTGGGTGAGTCTAGGAGGATTGTGTCTTACTTTTAGAGATATAACTGTATTGTTTTGTGAATTCTTAGTGTCCTGCAGCTTATTGATAATTAAAACAGTACTACCAAATACTACATATATAGTAATTAAATTTTCACTTAAACCTTTAAGAAACTAAATGGAGGCACAAAAGGCTTAAAAGATTTCTTTTTGCTTATTTACCTGAAAGTGCTAGTTAGAAATTGAGCCAAAGGAGTGCAGATCTAGAATTTCATACTAGACAGATTGTACTGGTCCCCTCCTTGATGGTACCAGGACATTCTCTTGAGTCCTCACACATATGCCAAAATGCCAGATAAGCAGAACAATAATGTAGATGCTACATAAAAATTAAGGTCAGGGAGTGTTCTAAGCCAGAGGAGAAGCAAGCTATCTCTTGATGTCTATGTTTAATAGATGAGATCATAGAGGCCAGCAGACGGTCCTGGTATTTTCTGTCCTGGGGAATGAGTGGTAATCAGTTATAACTAGATGATGTCATATCTAAACCCTTAGCATTGAGAGGTAGCACACAATATTCCCCCTAGTTATGATGAACGTATCGTGAACAGTTTTCCTCAGAGGCAAACTACTTCCCTTCCCATACATTGTCATGGTTGTCTAGAGTAGAACCCCACATCAAAGTCGTTTTAAGTATCAGTGCGTGTCCTTGGCTCTTAAGACAATGTAGCATATTACAATGTATAAAACTTATTATGGACTCAATATGACATAACACATACAGATGCTTCTGCTCTCCAGAGCCAAAGCTGAGCCAGAGAAACTTAGTATCACCTATCTGTCTGTTTAGCTACCCACCCATCCAAACAACAGTCCATGGTGTACCGTGTATTAAGTAGTATAATGTTTTGTATTTAGTGCTTGTGGGGTACCTTTCCCTTCTAGGAGTACAGACTAGGAGTGGACTAGAGTCCAGCTTTGCTTTCAGAGAAGTCACTTCTACAAAATCCTGACATACAGGCATGCAGCTTTTCCTTACATAATTCTGGCAATGAAAAAATGTACTCAATTCTATTTAACAATGGTCTTATTTGTTAAAATTTTCTCCCTCCTAGTTTTCAGTTTGTAGACTGAGTCTCAGACCATCTTACCAACTCATCTAGAGGCATACAAGGCCCCTGCCAAGCCTGCCCTGAAACTTTCCTTATATTCAATCAAGTGAGTTTTCTTACTCCGAAGCTCCAGAGGATACATTTTTTCCTGTTTTATTTGACTACCATTCAGATATTTGAAATGCCTCTTCACTATTCTCCTTTCCAATCCAAACATCCCCTCATGTGATTAGGTTTCCAGACCTTTCCTATTTACTCCAACCTGGCACGCTTTGTCTGGTCAATGCCCAGAAAGGAATCCAATAGCCCAGATGTGGTCTGGCTGTGTGGAGTGCACTGAACCAATCACCCCCCTCTTTTGTGCACAAGTATTTGTTAATGTCACCTCTGTTTGTATCATTTCTTCTTGGTAGCCACATAGTGGTCACATACTGAAAATAAACACACATTCTCTGGACACTGTGCCATCTCCAATGCAGCTCAAGTCTCATTTAACTCAAGAACAGCACACATGTTGTTTCTATCACATTTGATCCTTTGACTCATATTTTCTAGGCTTTAACTCCAGTCAAACTATATCTCAATTACTGTAACTATACTTAAATGCTATATTTAAGCTGATGTTTAAGTTATTGACTGGGTTAAATTGATGTGGTATATTCCACTATTAGCCATCTTTTTCAATGAATACATTTATCATATGCTAAGTCTATGATTTTACTCCATTGCTTTTCAAAAAATTAGATTGGAAAGAACCATTGGAAATGTGATTTTAAAGTGGTCTATTATTTTCTTATGGAATTGCAAAAGACATAATGTTTTTTTTTTTTTATTTTGTGGTTAAAAGAAAAAAAAACAAGAAACAAGAAGGAGCAGCCCCTGAGTTATAGATAGAAAATATATTATCTATGCATATAATTGTCATAAATAATAACAAAGACAGAGAGAGACAGACAGCTTGCTCTTCTGGGACTCTTGCTTCAAGTGTACATATGCTGGAAGAGAGGGTAAAGGTGCCATAAATTTGATAGAGTACAGATGAAAGCCTTAAATGGGCTTAGAACCATGTCCTGTAGAGGGTGGCTTACACTGGCATGCAGAAGTAGATTTTACCACAGAAGGGTCTTACATATGAGGCAATTACTAAGGAACATAGTAACTGTATGTTGGTGAGCATCTGACAAACTACCAGAATATCTCTGTGGAATTTCTGTGAAGAAGAAAAAAAATGAAAAAGCATGCTATAATAATGATAAATCTTAGCAATGGTTTTACTGAGTCAGTGATGAATAGTGTGGATTTGTTTTGTTCTATTTCAGTGTCCTGCTACTTTAAGTAGAAATGGGAAATTGGGTTGTGCTATTGACACTAATTGTCCTACATTTTGGTAGAACTTCATAGATGGTTTTATAAGTATATTTCAGCTTCCCACACTGAAGGAAGCCAGTTTACAAAGAAGCAGTACAGTCCACCTAGTAGGAACTGCCCTGCTTGGAAGCATGGAACTTCCCCCGTACATTTAAATTCATCTTCCACCATCAACAGTTTCCCCCAAATATTCCTGTCTTGTTTGTCTGCTCTGCTTCAGGATGAGGTGGTACAGGGTACAAGGCTGAGGGAGGAATGGGTCTATATTGTGTAGGTCTCACTCAAACAAAGCCCCAAAGATTGTGAGAGTCACTTTTCAAGCCACACAAACTTATTTAGACTTGTATTTCTCATGTATAAAACAAGCAATAATAATAACAAGAAAACTAAAAACCTCATGGTTGTCCTAAGCTGAGAGAACCGATGTCTGTAAGACCTGGAGTCTTTGCAACACATTTTCTCACAGTTTGAGGAGTTATGTGCTCAGAGAAAAACATCTCAGTGGCAAGAATAATTGTAAAAAAATTTGGTAAAGAATCCCCTTAAATAATTGAACATTTAAAAAAAACTATGAAGGAGATTCAAATGCATCTATATTATACTATTTATTTAAATTTGATTTCTGCTTTTTTCTATGTCCTTTGTATTTCTAATGTACTCCATGTCTCATTCAGATTTACCTAAAATATCTTGGCTGGGCATGGTAGCACATGCCTGTAATTCTAATACTCAAGAGGCAAGAGGATCAGGAGTTCAGTGCCAGCCTGGGCTACCTAGGACTCTGTCTCATTAGAAAAAAACAATACCAACAAGATAGAATCAACTTTCTTCCTACCACCAGTTTATAGTGCATTTCCCTCTTTATCCTTCTCTCCCAAACCCAATATTTCCTATAACTTTATTAGATTTTGCTTCTTCCCTCATAAAGAGTGATCCCTCTTCTCCAAGGGTGTGATGGTTAGTGTTTTTGGTGGGTACTGTGCTCCCTGGTCATCACAAGATTATCTTCAGTAGGCTGGAGAAGAATTGCTTGCAACATAAGATACATAAAAAAAAGTCCATTAAATGTTATACATATTTCTTGGCAGGGGAGCCAAGCCTTTGCTACAGGTATGAGGGAGATGGGATTTGTGAACCTTTTGAGAAGGAAAACAGCATCATAGACTGTGGCCTCCATACTCCTGAAGGACACTTGGACCAGTGGGCTACTCAGGCTTATTCCTACCATGAAGACAAGAAGAAGTGTCCTGTTTCCCTGGTAACAGGAGAACCTCATTCAATGGTAAGTTATGTCAGATGATTGGAGTCATGGCTGGCCATAGATGCTTAGGGGGCTTGAACTTTATTAAAGATGTTAGCATCCAATTTTGCCCTCACTGAGATTAGAACAAGATAACATTAGCTGAAAAGCTTTGAGATTAATCATACAATCCTATAACTCACCTGAACATTACTTGACTTCAACAACTTTTATCCAGTAACTCAAGGCATATTCAAGAACAGTTTAACATAGCTGTTATAAACTACATTTAGGCTCTATGTCTTGGAGAATTTAGTGTAAAAGGATAAAAAGCAGCAATAAGAAAACAGAAAGTTGGGGTTGGGGATTTAGCTCAGTGTTAGAGCACTTGCCTAGCAAGTGCAAGGCCCTGGGTTTGGTCTTCAGCTCCAGAAAAAAAAAAAAAGAAAAGAAAACAGAAAGGCTGAATTAGACAGATGGATCCTTTAGTATTACTGTTATTACGTGACAACGGACAAGTCACTTACCAACTTTGGGCCTTTATTTGCTACTATCTTTTGCATCTAACAGGCCAGTGTAGAGTTAATATATATATATATTATAATTTACATATATATACATAATATATATGTAAAAGTATGATTTGATTTAAATTAGTATTGAGGAAATGCTAGAGTTAGTTATTAAATCAAGTGAATCCTTTCCCCTGACTATCTGCCTACATAGTGGGAGATCTTGGGAAGACTTTAAGAGGCTATATTAATGACACTATTGAATTGAGGTTGAATATTAAAGACAAGATAAAGGGAAGTTGGCTCTTTGGGTGCCATTCCAGATGCTTTCATTGCCAAATAGACTCTTCCATCCACTGTAACAATGGGCAAAATGTCTACAGAAGCAAAAGGTAGCCCTCTGGGTATTGCAGGCCAGGATGAAATACTGTATTTTAAACTCCCACTTTGAGAAGGCATTTCTGAGTGGATAGAGGAAGCTACTTGAGGTGCCTGTCTCAGGCGTCTCATCAAGGATGCAGGTGTCTGGATCCCAGCACTTCCATTCTTAGTTTGTAGTTTTCTTTTTGTTGCTACTAACATGGCTGTTGCTCCTGTGAGCATGAAGTAAGTGTGTGTGTGTGTGTGTGTGTGTGTGTGTGTGTGTGTGTGTGTGTGTGTGTGTGTGTTTTACTGGGGATTGAACTCAGGGTCTTGCACAGTCAGTAAATGCTCCCAGAACCTTGCTATCAGCTGTTAAGAGAGGAAGAAGAAAGCAAGTCAAAGGGAAGTTTGTGCATGCCAGCTGAGTGTTTGCTCATGTTTATTGGGAAAATTGCAAATTTTCTGGAAGCTCTACACTGTAGATTATCACCCATATCTCATGGTCTATTTAATCACCCCTTTATGTGGGAAACATTGAGGAAATGAACATTTACATAACTGGATAACTTGGAACAAAGTTGATGTTCGTTAATGAAAAGGTGATGGGCAAGAAGATACAATGAGGCAACTAGCCTCTTCTGCCACACTCTCTTTGCCAAGTCTTGGCATCCTTCTCCTTCGAGTTCTGGTGCCCAGTGGCAAAAGCCAGGAAAGTTGGCAATTCTGAGTTCATGACAGCTCTCTGAAGTGGCTTTTAGTCTAGCCTGAATGTCTTCTCTAAGTGAAGTAGGAGACATTTCCTGAAGTTCTGCTTCTTGGAATTTCTACCCAGCCAAGCACTCCCTGCCTGTCTGATTCAGTAGCCTCCCTCTTGGACCAGTTGATGCTGATTGATAAGATCTAACCATCACCCTGGAAAGACTTGCAAAGTGAATCCTTAGATCAGTCATCTGAAGTGTGCCAGAATGATTCTTTGGGCTGACAGTGGAGAGAAAGTTGTCCTGTGTGTTTTCTACCCTAGGAAGATACATCTTGAGGGTTACATGAATTAGTTTTTTTTTTCATTCTAACTTCTGCATTCTGTATCTAACAGTGTGATCATTAGGGATAAGAGAGGAAAGTAGGCTTTGTGCTAGAGAGCTCCTGATTTTATGTACCTCCTGCACTCCATACTTAATTTAGGATTGAAATTGCTTTTCAGATTTGTGCTTCACATCATCCAGATTCATCCTCGAGTCATCTCTCTCTTGGATGGTTTCCCTGTGCCTTCAGTTTGAAGAGAGCCCAGGATGAAGGCAGTGAACAGTCTGAAGATAACCTGCAGAAGGACAAAGAGATTTGGCTTGAAGTAAGTGAGCCAAATGTCTATTTGTAAAGCCTGTAAATAGGGATGCACATATGTACATGTGTATGGGTAAAATTGGACATTTGACTGATTTATTAGAATTATTCCTTCTGTTATCTCAAAGTATATATAGCTTAAATTTATTTTCATCTTTCTTTGAAGTTTAGACTTCTATGTGAGTAATCACTCTAGAAAATTAACACGCACCAAAACATGCAAAATTAGAAATGGATAGCTCACATACCCTAATACCACAGAAATCAAGGAATAGGGCATTTAATAACCATCACAAAGTTCTCTTACAGCTCTTGTCTGTTTCACCACAAACATACCTAGTAGTTTTACTTCTGTTGACACAGATTTCTTTTGCACAATTTTTGACTGTTTTTGCTACTTGAGATAGGACTCCATGCTGCCCAGGCTGTCCTCAAACTCTATGCCACCGAGGATGACCTTGAGCTCCTGATCCTCCTACTCCACCTCCTGAGTGCTGGGATGATCGGTCTGCACCACCACATCCAACTTATGCAGTGCTGGTAAGGGATACCAAGGTTTCATATGTATTATGTGAGGTAGACGCTCACAATCTCTGCCCTGTGGATGTTCAGTAGATCTAGAACCAATCTAATCAAACTTGGACCCACTCTGCTGCCTGGTACCTTTGTCAGAAACCAGCAGCAGTATGTGTATGTTGACTTGTGTATTAAATCTGTATTTTATTTATTAATTCTGCATTTTGTTCTACTAGATCACATATTTTTGGAATATTAGTACACTTTTCTGAACTAAATATTTTAATCAATCTTAAAATCCCATAGTGGAAGTCTTAAAGATTCTCCATTTTCTTTCAGAATATATTAGCTATCTTGATTATTATCCTTTAAATTTTATATGAATTTTATAATCAGCTGTTAAGTTTGTTCAGTCTTACTAGGGTTTATCATTTTCCTAACTTTTTATTTATCATTCCATAAACAAACCAAAGAAAGGTACACTTTCATTCTTTATTATTTTCTTCATTTTTATTGTTTATTTTCAGGGCTGTGAAAATTCTAGACAAGTGTTCAACAACTGAACTACAATTATGCTTTTAACTTGTGTTTCTTTTTCTGGTAACTTAAAATGTTTTGATAATTGACTTTTGTACCCCCCCAACCGAGGCAGTCCTCACTTCATACGGTATTGTGAGATCACAGAATGACTATATAAAGTAAGCAATAATCAATAAGGAGATTATAATTGTTTCATGACCCCTAAGACATTTCTTGTCACTTCAAATGCTCTTACAGTTTAGTTATGCATATGTGGGAAAGTAAAAATAACAGCTTCCTTTTGACTCTTTAGTTCACTATTACTTAAAACATTGGCAGTATAGAGGATCAACGTGTTACATTTCTTTGCAAAAGTCCCAAAGATACCAAGGCAATTTTCCCTTTGCTTACCTTTTTCTTATGTGACTTATATGACAGAACTAGCATTTTTATGACTTAGTGAATTTTTTATGCCTTGCTTATATTGATAACCATAGACTAACTCCTGACAATTCTTCTTCATTCTTTTGATGTACATTAAACACCCCCGAGAGTTCCTTTAACATGAACTTTTTCCTTTATATTGATTCTTCTAGGAAGTCTTGTTCTTTTTGTCAAAACTACATTCCCTACTTCCGGTGACAACTTCCTCTTCACTGAGGTCTTCTCCCTGCATGGCTGGACTTTTGAATTACCACAATTCTTAGAGCTGGTTACTTCTTCCACCACACCATTATCCACTAACCGGATTTCATTCTCCGCATTATCATTTTTCTTCGATGCATTTTCATCTGGTTAACTTTCTTCTTTTGATTATCCATTTGGTCAGATTTTCACATGTATTTATCACTGGGGAACAAGTTGAAATCACAACATGTGTACTGTTGTCTTTGTAACCCAGATCAAAGCTTCATTCAGGCAGTGAGTGAAAAGTGAACAGATCATCAATATAAAATAGTTCTGGTCACTAAGAGATTCACATTATTAAGCCACATTAAAACCATATGACTTTAGCAGTGATGGGATTAGTTTACTGGTCAGAATTCAAACCCATTGCTTGTGTGGAGATTGGTTGTTGCAGCAAGACTGGCAATGAAATCTTTACTCAGTTGCTATTAATATATTGTATCAACTTGATTTGGGTCATATTGGTGAGTCAGTAGTTTCAGTTAAACTAATTTTATGGCCATGTTTCGTAGATATGTGAACTATGCCTGTTGGGAATTGCCGTGATATATCTTCAAATTCCTACATCTTTCTTATAAATTATCTTCTTAACTAAAAAGTGTGTCTTTTTTATATCTAGTAATACTTATTTAATCCCTGTATATTCCTATTTTCTTTGAAGTACTCCTGTTTACAGTGTATTTTAAAACACACTTATCAGACTCACTTTAATGTGCTTTTGATCCCGTCAGTTTCTTAGTGACCTGAACTGTTTTATGTTGTCAATCTTTGCTCTTTTCACTCACTGTCTTCTCTCTCCTGTCATAATGAATGAAGCATTGACAGAACATCAGACACTGAACACCTTGTAGAGATACTGGCTGACATTATCTTCATGTCAAGACAGCTTTATTGGGACAGGTATAAAGACTTGGGAAATATTTCCTCAATTAAGTAAGCACTTTTAAAGACTATTACCTCTGTTCTTATTTCTGTGAGCCCCAGTCCACCTTTTCAGCTCTCTTTGTTGTTCTAAGAAATTCCCCATGCAAAGCTTGAACCGGGCCCTCTACCTTGAAGGCCTCCAGCTTCCATTCCATGTACTCAGCAGTGTACGCCTGCCAAGGACCCCTTCAGGGTTTGAGCCTTGTTTCTGGCCAGTCTTTGCTTCACTTCCACTCTTACTTTGCACCGCTTTGTATAGTAAAAAACATTTTGGAGACACATGTCCAGTTCCTTTTAATGGGATTGTTTTCCTTTTGAGATATTGAGCTCGTCAGTCCTGACAGATTTGCTTGTTCTCGAGCATCATCATCATCAATCACCATCATCATCATCATCAATCATCATCATCATCATCATCATCATCAATCACCATCATCAATCATCATCATCATCATCAATCATCATCATCATCATCATCATCATCATCATCATCTTCTCTATCTTACTTAATTTGTATTTTTAAAATCTTCCTGCTAGAGCAAACTTCTTGTTTGACTGTAAGCTACTCAATTATATCCATAAGCAGAAATCTCAACCTGAAACTTTCCTAATACCCATCAGTTAACCACCTCTTGTAGTCTAGGTTTGTATACTAATCCTGCTCAACAAGAAATTTAAAAGAAGAGCCTTCATATTAGAGCAAATCTAATCAAAGTTTACATTAGTGTGTAAAGTGTGCTATAAAACTCGATTTCATGAACCTATATGGTACCAAATAAATTATATTTGAAAATAAGCTATATTAAACAAAGTATTTTATAAGCACAGCAGAATTTCTGGCCCTTTACTCTTCATTTTAATATAATTTAATCTTGATTTGATACACAGATATGATTTGTATGCAGTGAATCAGAGACAAATTTATTGCATGAGTGAAAAACAACAGTACTGAAAAACATTAGTTTTGAAAACGTATTTCCAAATTGTTTTATTCACTCACATGCTGCTTGCCAAAATAAAAGTTCTGTCATTTTAGCCAATTTTACTGAGGTAACATTCTCTTGCTCTTCTTTATTCTAATCTTCAACCAGTAGAACAGGAACAGAAGAATTTTCTTACAGAGCATATAGTATAAGTCTTTTATTATTTACAACAAAAAGCACATTTTAAAGTCATCTTTGGTTTACAAAATGCATATTCTTAAGCTTTTTACTGGTATCCTTACAAATCTCTGTGAGTGACAGGAGAGACGTTCCTCTGTTTCGCAGATGGAGGAAGCATCCAGGCTTTGAAGTGCTCACCACTAAGGAATAAAATGGTAATCAGGAAGCTCATATTCTCATGTCTTGGCAATAATCTCATGACCCCCCCCCCAAATCTGTTGCTCATTCTGTCAGCATTTATGAAGCACCTGTAGTATGCCAAACCCAGAGCTGAGCACTGGAAATATGTAGAGCAGAGCAACAGGAGGAAGAAAGCAAAACCACAGGTGGAGATGGAAGGAAAGTGCCCTCCCTTGTTTTGTTGTGTTTCTTCTACGTGTGTGAAAGACTATGGATCAGTGAATCTGGGTGAGAGGATTCATTCAGTGCTTTTTGTAAACTTACGCACATGAGAAGGTGAGTCCCAGAAGGCATGGTTTCCTCAAGAAAGTACTTTGAATATAAGTAATGTAGGAAACAAATGAGACCATTTGAGATGTAGACACTCAATAACTGCTTGCTTGATTCCCAGGGGGCGAGTCACCATGTGCAAAATCATATATTCCTGTTGGTGTCTATGATTCTAAACGGTCTCCAGTTTGAAATGATCTCACTTAGGCTGGACTGGTTAGCAGTCCTAACAGAAACCAGCACATGTTCACAGTATTTTAAATACCAGGGTCTCCCACATCAGTTGTAAATTATGGACCACTGCCTGGAAATTCTTTCTGCACAAGCCTAAAGCCCGTTAACCACAATTTCTTTCTTTTCTTTGTTTGGTATCAACTAGCTAAACACTGAACATGAGTCCCTAAGAACATGCAATATGTATTTAATTGATTAGATTTCAAATGAGTATCCCTAATACCATGGGAACAGAGAAAAACACACTTGTTGCAATGTATTCTGTTCCACATAGTATTTACTTTACACACTTTAAAATGATTATTTTAAAATTCAGAGATGTTAAACATTTCAATGATATAACTAGTAAAAGCATAGAGAAGATTAAAATTCAAATCCAGCACATGCCAAAGGCTATGGTCCTTCCTACACATTTTCTATGAAGAACCAGTTATAAAATATTTTAGGTTTATTGGCCACACAACCCATATCATAACTGTCTAACATGGCTATTAGTATGAAGGTAGAAAGTATG